CCTTCTGCAGGAGATCATTACAGAGTTTCAAGCACAGTCCCTTCACTACACAACAGAGAGGGACAACAGAGCCAGGAGCCAAGAATCTAAGATGGACCAACCAGGCAGCCAGCCTCTGCATTGCACACCACTTAGCTCTCAGAGGTCACTGGTGTGGCTTTTGCTTCAAAGTCAAGGCAGAGCATGGGCATTCATAATTCTCAAACTCTGTAAATCAGTCTGGAATGAGGCCCAGGCACCATAATTTTTAAAAGCTTCCTGGGTGATTCTAATGTACAGCCAAAGCTGAGTACAACTGCTACATGTGGCAGAGACCTAGTAAGAATATGTTGCCCTTCTAATTTCTAGCCTCAAAAATGTAATGTCTCACCAGGAGACTTATTTTGAGGTTCAGAAAGAAGATTCAAAGTTCAGAGAATTGTTGAAGAAGGGTGTGTATGTGTGTTTGTATTATAAGTGTATGTGTAATATGTGTGTGTATGTGCATGTTAGGAGGTATACTAGTAGGTATAAATGCGTGCATGTGTGTGTGTAAGTGTATTGCTGTCCATGCAACATCTGAGAAATTTAAAGGTAACTAATAGTGTTGGTTGCTATGTTTTCAGATAATCTGATGAAAGTTCTATCTTTCTCATAGATTATATATAAATTTCTATCTGTGCCAGTCAGAGGATTTTAGGATTATTGGAGACTTTAGATTTTATAACTACCATAAAATCAGTTTTTTAAATATCATATAAAAATTAAAAGACTGGTAGAAGTCTTAATTATGTCCTTAAATTTATGTAAGTTGCATAAGCTAGCTAGGGCCAATTTTCATCTCCTTATGGTGAAATTCTTATCAATCCTTATGTAGTCTGGGTAATGTTTATCCAATCTGTTAAAAAGTCAAGGTGGAGTGAGTGCATGTGTGTAAAATATCTTGAAATGTTGCCATGTATTGGAGCTGGCAGGTTGGTGAGTGCCATTTCCAGTCTCCCCACAGAGAATCAATTTCCTTTCACCTGCAGCCTGAAGATTATTCTGTTGCATTAGCTTATGGTGCTTTCTGTCAAACTGCTAGTAAATCCTCTCTTATAACTAAAAAAAAGTCAAGTGTCCAAAGAAAGGTGACAATCTGGGGGAAACAAAAATGCAAGACTCAAAACTTTCCTCGGGCTCCTGAAATATCTGTTCCCATCATCTAGGTTCTCTGTACACCAAAAGCCTCCCCCAACTCTCAGTGTCCCATGAGACCCTTGCTACCTAGTACTAAAACTTCTTACATCTAAAGAAAAGTAGTTGCCACAAAAGAACCAGGAGTGGTTTCAAGATCCTAAATCATTAGCGTGTAGAATTAAAAGGAAAAGCCCATCTGTCACAGTTCACTAAAGATCCTTTAGCCCTCCGCAAGATGCTAACTAGAGATGCAACCTTTATTTGCAAAGCAAGCAGAGAGCCGAGCTCAAAGAGAACACCCTCCAAATCCTTTGTGTTCTTAGTGTCCGTGTTTCCCATTCACTTCACTGTCTGAATGCTAATGCAGAGGAATAAAAAAATATGCACAGAAGATCCCATGCCTTTAGTGAATTTCGATTGCTGTTTTCTACTTCTCAGGGGGAAAAAACTTATTAAACAAAATGCAGAGTCACACAGTTCAAGCTACTGACTGTTTGTTCATAAAGCAAAATGCTTAATATGCAGAAATTCCAAGTGAGAGGAGATGTCAGGTCTCCAAAAGCCACTATTATCAGACAAAGCAGCCAGAAAATTAATGCACTTGAAATGACTGTGACCATACTCTTGACTATCAGCCAGCGTTCTTCATTTCTCTTGGTGGGAGCATGCTTCAGCACTCCCTATTGTGCACACAAAGCCCATCTACATGCCTTAGTTCTTTGACAAAAAATTCTTCCCTTCTTTCTATAGTACAGCTTTCACTTTCCAACTAGCATTTTATAACACTTGCTGACCATGGTGTTTCAGGAAGAAACACTACTAACAAATGGTATACAGCAAAAATCAGGATAGTTTTGTAGCTCATGCAGAGAAATGAACCATTTAAAGATTGTCCCCCATCCAAATCAAGGTGTCCTCTCCAAGCACAAAACAATCCTGCCTATGACCTCCTACCATACCTTCCAGAATCAGTTCTTTATCTCAGACATTTTAAAGAGACAATATTTGAGTCCATGTGGGTGGTTCCATCACCCTTTCCTTCCAGGACTGCATAAATCAAAACATCCCACAGAGGGTGGATAGTTTGTGTGTCTTGCCAACCCAAGACACAGTAACAAATTCCAAATGATTGAGGAGTTGGGTGCTTTAGGCTGTCCTACATTCTGTTTCACTGAAAATGATCACTCATTACAAATTATCAGGTAATAAGTAATAGGTCAAAAGGCAGGACTTTCCTTGTACTAATCAAGAAAATGAACACCCAAGAGTTTAACAACAAAATCACATACCTTTTTTGGACAGTTGATATTCTGTTTATGTGCATCATGACTAATAGTAATGGCTACCATCCATCACATTAGAAAAGTAATCAACAGTGCTAGCCATACCAAATTAAAATTGATTGAGACCTCACACGACCCTGGCAAAAGCTAATAATTACATCATTGTTACGTAGCCAATAGTAAGCAGCCAGAACACTGTTTTGCTTCTTTTGGTTTATGAACTCTGTTATGTAAAAGCTAGCATAGAAAAATTAAACAAAATAGATTAAAACAAAATATATCTTTTTTCTGAAAAATTACACCAGGAAAACTATTGCCACCTGCTTTTCATTTGTTATCCCATCTCCTTTGGGCCATGCACCATCCTGATGCTCTGCACATTTGATCCATCCTATTCTCATTCCATTCATGAAGGCATGTTGGCACCAGCCTCGTATTACAGAAGAAATGAACATCACACCAGGAGCCCAGAGTCATAGCCAAGACTCAAATCTACATCCATCTGAAATGGATGTCCAGTGTATCCATTCTAAGCAGTAAACAGGGCGTCTATATAATGAGACTAGATGAGTACAAGAAACAGCTCTCACAGATATGAGTTCAAATATCGGCAGAAAAAGAAAGCTGTCTTAGAAATCATACGTTATCTTTTATGGTTAGTGTTCTAAAATTTGGTGAGGGATCAGAAGGTCTCTCTCAGAGGAGGGTTCCACTACAGCCACAACTCTTGACTCAGAGTCCTCAACAGTGTGGCAGGGACACACACATGAAGAGTCATTTACCACAAAAAATACCAGGTTTTTTGTTTGTTTGTTTTGTTTTGTTTTTGGAATGTGAACAAAACAAACAAACAAAAAACCTGGTATGACCTTGCACAGACAAGTGACAAACATCATCATTAGAGCCTGTGGGGTTATAGGCAAATGGCACTCAAAAAGAGTTTTATCAGGCTAAGAAAACAGTTCATGGGGCAAAGTGCATGCCAGGCAAGCATGAGGACCCAAGTTTGGATCCTAAGCACTCAAGCAAAAATTTGGGCATGGAAGCCAGGATGGTGGTGGCCCACGCCTTTAATCCCGGCACTCAGGAGGCAGAGGCAGGTGGATCTCTGTGAGTTCAAGGCCAGGCTGGTCTACAGAGCCAGTTCCAGGACAGCCTCCAAAACAATACAGAGAAACCCTGTCTCGACAAACCAAATTAAAAATTTGGGCATGGCAGCCAGAGGAAAGGACGGGATGGAGACAGACAGATCAAGGGCTTACTGGCCCTCCAGACTAGCATGATGGAGACAGATAGCTCAGGGGATTCACTGGCCATCCAGTCTGGCTGAAATGGCAAGCTCTGGTTCAGTGAGAGACCCTGCCTCAAAACATAAGGTGGAGAAGTGATTGAGGAAAATGCCAGCTTTAGGTTCCCATTTGGGACAAGATGGTGGGCAAGCTCACACAGAGAGGAGAGACAGACAGAAGTTCTTGTGAAATATCACTCTAAGTTCCAGTGAACTCTAAGTTCCCTCCCAAAGGCAGGATTTAGGACAGTCACACCTGTGTTTGGGGAGAGCCAAACTCATTTCTGATCATACGGAGTTGGGTTGCTTTTCTCTTGTTTTGTCGTTGCTGCTGCAATGTTTGTAGCACACATCCTCCAAGGAAACTTTCTTCCTGACGGATAGCAAGGCAGGGGTTAAACAGTGGCCCCTGACTGAGATGAGCTGGCCTGAGAGCCGCATCTTGGGCTGCCTACAGAGTCTCTGAAAGCACCACCAGGGCCCTCCATCGTGCAGCTTGGGAAACTGAAAATACAGGAAAAGTGTAGGAAGGAAACAAGGTCTCTGTCTATCCTTCGGTGAAAGAAGCAAACTTGAACTGAGTTGTGTAGTTCTTTCTTCTCCTTTTCCATCCTCCTGACTCTGCCTTTGTGGCAGAGAACATGACATAATGAGGAGTGAACCCTGATTGCAATTCAGTTTTATAATGAATATTAATTAAGAAAGGAAGATCTAAAACTGCATTTAAGTACTGTGCAAGCAAAAGAAATGTAACCTATGTCCTTGGTAGTGACAATAAATGCTATTTCGTTTCTTAATTGTTACTTTTTTATATTTTTTGAATTTGCTAAAAAGGAACTATATTAGGCTTGTAGCATTACAAAGGAAGATATGCTGATAATATAATGTGAAATGGAAAGTTAGAAAATTGTAGATAAAGTAGAAGCTTTTTCTGTTTCCCAGTACATGAGCACATGCATGCGTGTGATACGTGCTTAAAACAAACAACATGACATTGTCTAGGGCAGTCTGTCTGTTGATCTCTGGATGGTAGAGTTAGTGGTCATTTTTATTTGCTTCATTTTGCCTCTGTGTATTTTCTCTCCAGTTAATAATCAAAATATCATCAGAAAACTATAGAGTAAGAATTAGCCCAACTCTCATGGCAGTAACATATTAAACCTTAAAATAAGTTGGTATAAATTCTTTGACCAGCCAGCATTTTGTAGGGATACTCTCACCTTCATGTACTCAATTCCTTGATCACGTGTCTCCCTCTACTTCCATTCCAGGTATATCCATGCCGATCCCAGTCTTTGGATTGCAGGATGACTCGAAGGTCTTTAAGGAGGGGAGCTGCCTGCTCGCCGATGACAATTTTGTCCTCATAGGTTCTTTTGTGGCGTTTTTCATCCCCTTAACCATCATGGTTATCACCTACTTCCTCACTATCAAGTCACTTCAGAAAGAAGCCACCCTGTGCGTGAGTGACCTCAGTACCCGGGCCAAATTAGCCTCCTTCAGCTTCCTGCCTCAGAGCTCTCTGTCGTCCGAAAAGCTCTTCCAGCGGTCCATCCACAGGGAGCCAGGCTCCTACACAGGCAGGAGGACGATGCAATCCATCAGCAATGAGCAAAAAGCGTGCAAGGTGCTGGGCATCGTGTTCTTTCTGTTTGTCGTGATGTGGTGCCCATTCTTCATCACCAACATCATGGCCGTCATCTGCAAAGAGTCCTGCAACGAAGATATCATCGGAGCCCTGCTCAATGTGTTTGTCTGGATTGGATACCTCTCCTCAGCTGTCAATCCACTGGTCTATACACTGTTCAACAAGACTTACAGGTCTGCCTTCTCGCGGTACATTCAGTGTCAGTACAAGGAAAACAGAAAGCCACTGCAGTTAATTTTAGTGAACACTATACCGGCGTTGGCCTACAAGTCTGGTCAGCTCCAGGCGGGACAAAATAAGAACTCTAAGGAAGATTCTGAGCCGGCAGGTAATGACTGCTCTATGGTTACACTAGGAAAACAACAGTCCGACGAGACTTGTACAGACAGTATCAACACCATGAATGAAAAGGTTAGCTGCGTGTGATGGACTGGTTGCTATGACAATGGCACTTGAACCAGTTTTTAGCCCTAGTGTGTGGGGGTGGGGATCAGGAGTCTGGGACAAATTAGACTACTCCGGTGACTCAATAGTATCTATATGCCTCATTGTACTCTGTGTATGAAGACAAAATGTGTGTCACAAAATGTGCACTTGGACAATGTCGTGACAGCATTTGAGCAGAGTGTTGTGGTTTTATCATTGTCCTTTTAACATTGTCAGTGAGCACTTTAAGATCATTGTACTTTATTGTACAATTATAATGAGGCATAAAAATCAATCTAATTAATTTCTATTATTCAAATGGAAACCTTGCTGCCATGTTGTTGATGGGTGGCATGGGAGTGACTTGGTGACCTATTATTGTATATAAAAGTAGCTAGAAATACTGAACATAATGAATAGCCTCTTTTAAAAAAAGCATTTAAAATTTACCATGACACATATTTTGAAAATAAAAAAATAGTATTATGAAATTTGTATTGCTAATATAATTAATTGAAATACTTGACAATATTTTTCATTCTTGCCTTTTCATAGATGCCATTTTGAAATGTTCACAAGATCACTGGCATTTGCTGCATCTGTCATTTAATTCTCAGATGTGGAAGGATTTTAAATGTTATTCAATAACGTGCTGCTTTCTCTTCAACTTCTTGGGCTTTACCTGAATTTGCAATGTGATCTTGTTTCATATATTTTCCTCTCTGTAAACTATCAAAGGATAATTTTGCTTTTCAAAATACAGTTCTAGAACTCGCTTCAAAGAAACAGCATCCTGGAGGTGTTTGGTCACTCACTATGGGACCAACTGCATTGCGCATGCGCCCTTTGAGCGGCGACCAGTACATTGATTTGACTGACACAGCTAAACAATAAACTCAGGTTTCTCGCTGTTAGCAGTAGTTTCTTAGGCTGTTTCTGGAAGAAAAAAAAAGTCAAGTGGCTTTCCTATTGACACTTAATCAGGTAAAACTGATGTTTTCAAAGGGCTGGGGATATAAGTCCATTGATAGGAGTGTTCCTCTACCATGCAGGGTTCCCAGCACTGTGAGCATTGGGGAAGCACTAGCTTGGATCCCCAGGGTAAGGAGGTGCATGCCTGTTATCCTAGCCCTTGGGAAATGCAGGTGAATCAGGAATTCAAAGTCATTCTCAGCTTTCTATCAAGTCGGTGTGGACTGCATGTAACCCTGCCCCAAAAAGAAAATAAATAAATATAGACTTTTTGAAAATTGATACTTTCATATTAATGTATTTATATTATTTATTAAAATGGGTTAGCTTGGTTCCACAGTGATCTATGTACTGTATCTTATGAGTGGAGCAGTTCCTTAGTTATTAAGTATATAAAAATAAATTTATAAGATCTTTCCACTTAAAAATGACAACTTAATTGGCCATTGTCAAAAAGCATGAACAGATTTATTTTGAAAACCAATCAGTTCAATTGCTTTCTTACCTGACTCAGAAAAGAGTTTGTATTTACTCTTGAAATTTTTTTCCAGTTTTTCTCATTTGCCAAGCAGGCAAGAAAATGAGAAAATGTCAGTTGAATCAAGGATTTCAATTTATGTATAGAAATAAGCACCTCAGACTGAATCCAACTCATGATAATCAAGGTTTAAAGCAGTATTTTTTGTCCCTACCCTCTAAAACTCCATTCATTTTACTCTGACAGATACTAGCTCCCAATTAAAAGGCAAACATCAGTTACCATAATGTTTGGTAGAAATGATCACTAACAAAGTCGGCCACTGTTACTCCGCTTTGACACTGTGGTGTACAAGAGTAAATTGCACATTACTGTTGGAACATTCAATAGGTACAGGGTAAAACACTGGAAGTTTTATATTGACTATAAACGTGTTTTGCTGTAAGCCGTTGGGAAATTTACAAGTTTGGCATTAAAGAATGTAGAAAGCTTCATTATGTAGGTTGGAAATGCACTAATGTTTTCCCGAGTTTTTCTTACAGTCGCTTTGAATGGTGGTCATTGCTTCAGACATAGAATTTTAGTATGTCACTTGTACTGAGATTATATTTGAAAAGAGCTAGTCCTCAATGCTTAGACCATAATGACTGATAAAAACAGAAGTGTTAGGAAGTCTGCTCTAATGTGTGTTGCCTTAGTTTAACACTGTACACATGTCAATATGCATTAAGGAAAAACCTATCAATTCTAATCTGAGATCTTAATCCATCAGAATGACCATAAATACTGCCTGGCAGATGTCTTTTGACTATACATGTATAACCAGTGTGTATGTGGTTTTTCTCTCTGTAAGTATCCACTGAAGTGTATATAAGAAAACGTGTACCTGTATATATGTACAGACATGTTCCCATGCACTTTATTCAATATTTATATATTTATATGAAAGAGGAGCAAGTCGGTGAAAACACACACATGTGCATGTTTGAATCATGTTTGTCTAAATGTGAATTCATGTTCTAATATTCCTTTGACCTTCCATGACTGCCAAAGGAGATTACTGTGTAACAGACATACCCTTTAAATAAACTGGAAGTTGCTTTAATTATGTGGAAAGATTTTAACACAGGTTGATCAGGGTGTTGAAAACAATAGCCTGTGTTCCGTGTACTAATCTTAAATTGAATGGTAACTTCAGGCCTCTTTTTAGGCTGGGTACTTCCTGACCTCTGTGGCTATTCAGATACACTCCTCTCCCCGGTAGGGGGAAAAAGACCATCTAATGATTTATTGATCCATGTTGAAAGGATTCGTTTCTAGCCAATACTATTAAAAGAGTGACTAACTTCAGTCTTCTTTAAGTTAGATGATAGATTCTTCTAGACTTAAGGGATTCAATGCCATAGTTAAGGAAAACTCAGTTAGAGCTTACATAATCTACTTGGCCACATCGCCATCTCATGGTCAGTTTTGGAAAATGCTACCATAGCCCACTCAAATTGTGACTGGGCTGCTTTTAGCAAAAGGGTTCTTCCCCCATTTTGTGCACTGATGAAACGTATTTATAAAGTGTTGTTATTCTGTGCCATATGTAACAAATACAGTGAAGATTTATTTTATGTACTGATTTTAATCTATTCTAAAATATTTGAAGAATGAATGATTAATTGCAAATAAAGTATACTAAAAACAGTGAGTCAATGGCTGTGTTTGCTAAAAGGAATTGGTCAAAACCTTCCAGATCTCCAAGCTGAGGACAGTTGGAAAGTAAAAGCCTGGACCTCTGGATTCAGCCACATCACAAAGCCAGAACTCACTTCTTCAGCTTCAAGGTCACGAGTCAGTTTGCCGTCATCGTACACAGAAGAGAGATGCTCTGTGTCTTAGTGATGCCATCAAAAGATAGAGGCATGCCTGCAGGTGTACACACGCGCAGGTACATTACCATACATGCACAAACACACACACACACATTCTTTCACAGGAACCATAGTTAATCAAGGACATGGAGCATCATTAAGTAGGCCAGAGTCACCTCATTCATCATTTCATGTTTAAGCCAGGGCTTCATAGGGACATGCCTATAACCCCAGCACTGAGGAGGTGGAGGCTAGAGGGTGGGGGATGCCTACAGATAATAAGGCCAGCCTGAGCTACATGATACCTTGTTTCCAAAAAAAATGAAGAAAGTATAGAGATGATTACAAACAGAGAAAATGGTCTTTTCCAGGTTGTTACACCTCATGTGTTGAGCACCTACCTACTGTATGCCTGCTGTTAAGCTTCCTGCTTTTGTTCATTTGATATAAATGGGCTCTTCACAATGATGGTAAAGGTAGGAATAGTCTTTTTTGAAGGATACTGATACTCAGTGACATGTCAAAAGCCACACAGCTAACAAGAAATGTGACAGTTCAAGCCAAAGGCATCTGATCCAAATCCATAAATGCTTCTACCAATTTCATCCAAGTGGTGAAAAGAGTACCTTTCATAACCCAAACACTTCAGTTTCCATCTTTGTTTCTCCTATACACTAGGTTATGAGCTTGAGTCATCCTTGTCACCATGCACCTCATTGTTGTCTCTAGAGTGGGCCTGCAGGGCCCTGCCTTGCTAACTGACAGAGATGGATACATCATATCACAGCTGTAGCTGTCCCTGATAATCTGCAACACACTAGAAATGGCCTTGCTTGCTTCAGTTTTTGTTTGTTTTCATTATTATGAAACTAAGGATTCAATCTAGGGTCTTACAATGCTGGGCAAGCATTATGCCACCTAACTGTCCTTTTGAGAGAGGGTCTTAGGTTGCCCAGGCTGACCTTGAACCTACTCCATAGGTTGGGAAGGGCCTAAACCTGTGATCTTCCTCCAACACTATTCTTCAGAATTCTCTACTGTTTCCTGTGAATGTTTCTGACTTTCAAAACACTTTTTACCTCTGCTGCCATGATGCACAGGTTCCTTCATCTGGCCCCCTTCATTTCTTCTTTCCAAAGTACCCAGTTAATGTCACCAGGTTTATGGTCGCATACAATCTGTGCCTAGCAAACCAGTCAGCCACTCATCCTCAATAAATCAACTGAAAGAGCCCAAATTAATAGTGAAAGCAATAAAGGAGGATTTACTCAATGAGGGATGAAGAGATTCAGAAAGCAAGAGATAGCTAAGCAGTCCTGCGAAGGACTGCCCATCATTGTCTCAGATCCTGTCTCTGCCAGAGTTAGTCTCTCTACATCATCATCTAGCAAGCTGTAATTCTTCCCCCCAGAGACAAGTTTCTCTCCTGGCTGACAAAAGCTCCTTCTCTGGTTGTCCTCAGGATGTGGACGTTTTCTTCTCCAACAAGAGATTCCTAAGAAATTCTATTTATTGGGGGACCCATTTGTTTCCATAGTCTGATAGACAGAGATGAGGACACGAGTATGTCTTTTGAATGTATTTGTTCCTGCCGGGCAGGCCTCTATTTTAATAAGAGACTAAAGCTTATTGGCCTTGGGAACCATTGACATTTCTTTAGCTGTCCACCCTTAACATAATCCAGCAGGCAGAAACCAAAGGAAAATGTATTATGCACCAAGAAGACAAACAAGAAAGAAATTTGGGGACCAGTAATGTCTTGCAAATGATCTACAATAAAACAGGTACTGTCAGATCTTCCATAATTCATATAAACATTTATAATTTAACATTAGAAAATATTTTAAATAGAATTTCCTAAATACATGTTGTATTCATATCTTTTCTACTCCTACCCTTGGTGCTCCCAACTCTTCCTGTGCCTCCCAACTCCCTTTCAAAGTTATGACACCTCAAATTATTATTGAGATACATGCATTGCACAAACAAGCATGTGCACACGCAGGAGCACACACATACAAGAGCAACCTGCTAAGTCCATGTAGAGTTGCTCAACTGTAAGTGAATATGTAAAAGGCTGACCTCTTGTGATTGGATAACCTGTCAGTGAGCTCGTCTCTGGAGAAGACTGATTCTCCTCTCCCTCTTGGAGCAGCCATTTGCTTATAGTTGTCCTTCTAGAAGAGGTCCCCCAAGATTTTCCCTGTCCACATTGTCATGTCAGCCTCTGTTGTCATTATGCAAGTCTCGTTTAATTGTCTGTGAGAAAGTGACTTCTACATATGTCAATATTATCACCTAATATTAAGTTTTAACCCATAATAATGGCTTGCAAAAAATCATAACTTTGAGAAAATTAGGAATATTACTAAATTCTTCCTCATGTTTTACAGCATATGGGTATTTATTCAAGTAAATACACAATCAATAATTGCATCACCTTTTGTTACTTACTGATTATTTGCATATGGGTTGTAAAAACAAATGGTTTCTTCTGAATAACAATAATATATACACAAAAGCTCTGACCTTCATTTATATATATATTTTTTGAGTTTCATACATGATCTAATGCATTCTGGTTACTCTCACCACTCAACTGTCTACTTTCCCTCACAACCCTGCCAAAGCCCTCTTGTCTACAAGTCCCTTCCCCCACAAGTTCTCTCTCCCACAAGTCCCTTCTCCCACAAGTTCCCTCTCCCACATTCATGACTTTTTGTTTTGTTTTATGACCCACTGATTTTAACCAGGACCCTCTGTCTGACCATGGGTTTGGAAATGTCCACTGGAGCTTTGTGGGCTCATCCAAGGAAACAACACTGCAGCCAATGTCTGTCTCTCCTTCAGAATTTACAAATAGCCAATAGTTCAGCAGAAGGGATGGTGCTATGGAAGCTCCTTCCTACTCCATGATGGACTAATGGCAGGCCCAATCTTTGCAGGTCCAGTGGAAACAACCTCAACTACATGGGATCATGATTACAATGGCTGTCGTGCCCTGAAGGTAGCATTTCAAAGCCTTTTGCCTCATCTCCTGGCTCTTATATCTTTTCCTTCTCCATTTCTTCAATGTTCCCTAAGCCTTATTGGGGATTATGTAAATGTCCTGTTCAAGACCAAGCTCTAAATCATCACTTATTCTCACGACTGAGAGCAGTCATATGTTTCTGCATTTGCTCACTGCATTCACTCACTTCATCCACTGACTGCATCCACTCACTGCATTTCTTCAGTGCACAACACATCACCTCAATGCATTTGCTCACTGCAAGTCTAACTGCATAACCTGACTGCATTGCCTCACAACATTTGCTCACTGCATTGGCTCACTGCAACACTCACTGCACCTGCACACTGCACACTGCATCACCTCACTATATTTGCTCACTGCATCATGCACTGTTATGCCTCACTGCAAAGACTCACCACAAGGATTCACTGCATAAAGCATTGCCTTTCTGCATCTGATCACTGCATATGTTCACTGCAAACTGCATATGCTCACTACAAACAGCATTGCTTCACTGCATGTGCTCACTGTGCTTCCTTTATGCATTGCTTCACTGAATTTATTCACTGCATTGGCTTTTTGCATCTATTTGCAGCTTTGGCTCACTGAATCGTCTCACTGCATTGTTCACTGCATCTCATCACTGCATTGTCTCACTGCTTTGTTCACTGCATCTGCTCACTGTGTGCTGCATCAGATAACTGCGTTGCTCACTTTCTTCCTTACTGCATTGCCTCACTGCATTTCTTCATGACATGTGTTCACTGCATTGGGTTAAGAGATATGCTTGCTGCATTGACTCACTTAATTCACTCACTGCATTCACTAACTGCACACTGCATGTTCTCACTGCAGTGGCCTGCTGCATTGAGTCACTTCATTGGCTCACTGTATATGTGCACTGCATTCACACAATGTATTAACTCACTGTGCATTGCATTGCCTCACTGCATCACCCTATTTCATCAGCTTACTGCATACTGCTTTCATTCACTTCATTGGCTCACTGCACACTGCATTGACTAACTGCATCAACTCACTACATGGCCTCACTGCATCTTCTCACTCACTGCATTGGCTAACTGCATCAGCTCACTGCACACTGCAAGTGTGCACTTCATCCACCCATAACACCAGTTTGTTGCATTGGTTTACTGTATTGACTCACTGCACAGTACATTCTCACACAGCATTTATGAACTGCATTGGCTTTCTCCACAGTATGCAGCATACTGTATTGGCTCACTGCATTCTGAAATTGTGTGCTGTGTTTGTTCACTGCATCAGCTCACTAGACATTGCATTAGCTGACTGCATTCATTCACTGAACACTGCATGGCCTCACTGCATTGGTTCACTTCATTGGTGCACTGCATACTCAATTGCCTCAATGCATGCACTAACTGTGTTTGCTCATGGCATTCACACAATGCATTTATGTCCTGCATTCATTCACTGTATTTGCTCACTGGGCACTGTATGGCCTCACTGCATTGGCTCAGTGAATTGGTTCAATGAATACTGTGTTTACACACTGAATTCTTGCGCTGCATTGGCTTACTTCACACAGCATGAGTTCACTACAATGGTTAACTGCATAAGTTTGCTGCACTCACTTACTGCAAACTGCATTGCTTCTCACTGCATCTAGTTGCTGCATCTGCTCAAAGAATCGGTTCATTGCATGCTGCATTTGCACAATGCATTTTTTCACTGCGTGGGCTCATTGTGTTCTGCATTGCCTCAATACATTCTCTGGCTCAATGCACATTACATTGGTACACTGCATTCTCTCACTGCATTCACTCACTGCAAGCTAC